CCAACTTTGCATACAGCCAACTTTGCATATTGGCAGGATTTGGGGGTGATTGACTTTGACATCCAGGAGTTATAGTTCCCCCCGTATTCAGAAAACAGTAAACTCATCAGATGATGGATCTGGTCCAAACTTGGCACACAAATTCAACATGGCCAACTGAGAATACTGGTGGACTTCGGGGGTGATTGACCTTTAACTCTGGGAGTTATAGTTCACCTGTATTCCAAGAGCCCTCTGAAACCCATCAGTGATGGATCTGGATCAAACTTGGCACACAGGCCCAATGCTGCCAACTTTGCATACTGGTGGACTTTGGGATTATTGCCCGAGGCATCAGAGTTATAGTTTACCTGTATTCACAGAACACTGAACATGGCAAGTGACGGATCTGCAACACACTTGGCATACAGACCCAACTTGGCCAATTGTGAATACTGGCTGTCTTTGTAAGTGATTGACCTTGGCATCAGAGACTTATAGTTCACCCGTATTCAGAAAATACTGAATCCAGCAGATGAAGGATTTCGACCAAACTTGGCACACAGACCCAACATGGCTAAGTGTGTGTACTGGTTGGGTTCAAAGAGTGTTGACCTTGTCATATGGGAGTTGTAGTTTGCCCTTATTCAGTGAGCACTGAACCCAGCCAATGATGGATGTCAACCAAACTTAGCACAAAGATCCAACACAGCCAACTGTACATACAGGTGGGGTTTGTGGGAGATTGTCCTTAGAATATGGGAATTGTAGTTTACCCTTATCCAGAGAGCACTGAACTCAGTCGACATCAGATCTGGACCAAACTTGGCACACAAACCCAACGTGGCCAACTTTGTATACTGGCGGGGTTTGGGGGTGATTGATCTCTGGGCGTTACAGTTCACCCTTATTCAGAAAACACTGGCCCCAGCAGATTACTGATCTGGAGCACACTTGGCACACAGACCCAACATGGCCAGCTTTGAATACTAGTGCACTTTGGGGGTGATTGACCTTGAAACCTGGGAGTTATAGTTCACCTGAATTCGGAGAACAGTGAACCCAGCAGATGATGGATCTGGACCAAACTTGGCACACAGACCCAACATGACCAGCTGTGAAACCTGGCATGGTTTGGGGGTTTGACCCAAGATTCAGGAGAGAATGCTTCCGGAACATGGCCATACAGGCCGGAAAACTCACAGCAACCCACAGGGAGAGCGTGTGAGGCTGGAGGGAGGCTCACACCAGCAAGCCCCTTCAAGGCATGGGGATTCTGTGTGGGAAGTTTGGCCCAATTCTATCAATTCTATATAGTTCAGAATGCTATTTGTTTGTAGGTGAACTATAAACCCCAGCAACTACAACTCCCAAATGCTAAGGTCTATTTCCCCCCAAACTCCACCAGTGTTCACATTGGGACATATTGAGGATTCGTGCCAAGTTTGGTCCACATCCATCACTGTTTGAGTCCACAGTGCTCTCTGGATGTAGGTGAACTACAACTCCAAAACTCAAGGTCAATGCCCACCAAACTCTACCAGCGTTTTTTGTTGATCATGAGAGTTCTGTGTGCCAAGATTGATTCAATTCCATCACTAGTGGAGTTCAGAATGCTCTTTGATTGTAGGTGAACTATAAATCCCAACAACTACAACTCCCAAATGTCAAGGTCTAGTTCCCCAAAATCCATCAGTGTTCACATTTGGGCATATTGAGTATCTGTGCCAAGTTTGGTCCAGATCCATCATTGTTTGAGTCCACAGTGCTCTCTGGATGTAGGTGAACTACAACTCCCAAACTCAAGGTCAATGCCCCACAATCCCTTCTAGTGTTTGCTCTTGGTCATGGAGTTCTGTGTGCCAAGTTTGGTTCAATTCCATCATTGGTTGGCACAGTTGTGTGAATGGAGAAAGGGGCAATAAGAAGGTTTCTCATGCCGGTCATTTCATTAGGCGATCCCTCGTAGTCCGAGGATGATGGTCCTCCAAGTTCGGTGTCCTAGGGGTGGGTTCGTAGGTGGCTGTGGAGCCCTATTCTTGACCTGCATCTTCTCCCACAGTGAGGGCATTGGTTTCCAGGTGGAAGGCGGTCTCAGTGGGGTTGGCTTGACGCGCCTTCCTCTTGGCACGTTTCTCTCTTTCACCCTCCATTCGTGCCTCTTCAAATTCTGCAGCACTGCTGGTCACAGCTGACCTCCAGCTGGAGTGCTCAAGGGCCAGGGCTTCCCAGTTCTCAGTGTCTATGCCAGAGTTTTTAAGGTTGGCTTTGAGCCCATCTTTAAATCTCTTTTCCGTTCTTGAGTTCGGAGTAGAGCAACTGCTTTGGGAGACGGTGGTCGGGCATCCAGACGAGTTGAGGGAAGTAATGCTACCCCTCTATTCTGCTCTGGTTAGACCACATTCTGGGCACCACAATTCAAGAGAGATATTGACAAGCTGGAATGTGTCCAGAGGAGAGTGACTAAAATGATCAAGGGTCTGGAGAACAAGCCCTATGAGGAGCGGCTAAGGAGCTGGGCATGTTTAGCCTGAAGAAGAGAAGGCTGAGAGAGGATATGAT